GGTCCAGATTGAATCTTGACCGATCTGACGGTTAGAACTGTATTTCGATAATATAATTTTAATATTTTTGATATAAATCTGAATAACATGAAATTTGGAACATCACCTCTTCTCATTAAGGCGCACATAATAAAAATATTTTAAAAGTAATTCGAATAAAATAAATTGACCAAAATAACCCTAAAAATTTTCAGGGGTATTTTGATCAATTTATTTTATTCGAATTATTTTTTGATATTTTTATTAGATTCCAATATCTTTGAAGAATAAACGATCTAAATTTCAAGCAATTTATATTTGTAAAAAAAAATTAAAACTAAATTACGAAATACAACCGTGATCATTGGATCAACCCAGATTTAATTTGGATCGTTGGGATTACACCGTTCCATCAGCCCATACGCTGACAGGAGCTTTTTCCTATAGAAAAGGATAAGATCAGCCCGCTCACATATGGGATAGAAATACACCAACAACCAAGATAAGCCTGGGAAAAATTGACATCTACTATTGTTTTTCCTATTTCTCTCTCTATTCTCTCAAAAGTCATTTCAGACTTGCCAACTATTCACCTTGTATTGAATTCTGATATTGCATCAAAGGTCTAACAGCAGTTGTGCCAAAGTTATAATATTGAATTCTGATATTGCATCAAAGGTCTAACAGCAGTTGTGCGAAAGTTATAATATTGAATTCTGATATTGCATCAAAGGTCTAACAGCAGTTGCGCCAAAGTTATAACAACGGTTGCAGCAAATGTCTACTAAAGTTTAACTGTTGATAAATGTTTGAATCTTTTAATTTTTTCTCGTGATGAGTACCATGAAATTCATTACGGAATGGAATGTAAATCTAATGAAAAAGGAACAACAGGACACTGAATACAAGAAAGGGAAAAATACAAATATCTTGAAGGGATCTCCAATGGTGTTTTGCTATGGATGGGTTGCTGTTCAGCGTTAAAAAGAGAGAGAAACCCATAGTTTTGTATGTGGAACTTGATGGGTTGATGAGAGAGAACCAAACTATTGAGCTTCCAATATCTAATTTCTTAAGCTTGATTTTCAAATTAAAATCAAAGCTCATTGTAGAGAGACAGATAGAGGCAATGCCTGCACCCAAAGCTGCCGTTATTGTCCCAAAGAGCTAATAACTCGAACATTAATTAAAGAGAAATGGGGCTCATTACTGGTTAGTGAGAGAGAATAATGGTGATTTTTGTAGGCACAAAAATGCTAACCACAAATTGGGGTTTTGAATTCCATACCTAAATTCCGGCCAAAACGCCTTTGGTGTAGCCGCCCTCTTGCCTGGAGCTTTCACCTAAGGTTTTGAACCTGTTGGCTAGGGTGCATAAGAAGCGCCTAGAAATGCTTGTTTAGAATTGGTATAGCTTGCAGCAATCCTCCAAACCAGTTAGTACCAGAATTCAATGTCATAGGTGAACTCAAAATGGAAAAGCTGCATGAAACTATGCAACAAGAGGTTATTGACTCTTTAACTTCTGTGGTGGGTCAAGTGTAGAGGGACCTCACCAACCTGCATCTACAATTTCAGATCTCTCTGGACCTTATCTCTCATGATATCTATCTATACTCAGATCCCCTGTAACTTGCCTCGTTCATCTGAGATAGCTCACATTATGTAATGCAGCAGAGAGATGACAACGGAGAGAGAGAGGAGGGTAAAAGATTGTAAGATGCACATCAATGGAGAGCAAGAGAGAGGGCTGATTGTGACGCTAATGGCAGAGACAGAGAGAGATTGTAAGATGCACAACAATAGAGAGCGAGAGAAGGGGCTGGCTGTGACACCAATGGCAGTGAGGGGAAGAGCGGGAGTGATGGAGGCGAGAGAAATGGAGAGAGAGGAGGGGGGGGGGGCTGTTTGTTGTGGATGGGGCTGTTTGTTGTGGATGCTAATTGCATAGAGTGGTGCTTATGTGAAGTGAGAGAGAAAAGGGGGTTCTCACTGGTCTGAGTGGTACAAGAGAGAGTACAAGGTGAACAGTTGACAGGTTTGAAATGATTTGAGAAAATAGAGAGATAAATGGAAAAAACGGTCGTAGATGTCGATTTTTCCTAAGCTTATCATGGCCGTTGGCATATTTCCAACACACGCATGCGCACGCACACACAGTGCATTTCTACAAAAAAGATTATTGCACAACAATTTCGTGACCCATACGATCGTCTGTGCATTTCTACAAAAAAGATTGTTGCACAACGATTTAGTGACCCATCAGTTATCAAAGTTTAAACAAGCATTTGATGCATGAATATAGCTCATAATCAAATTCGCTAAAGCCACATCAAAACACACCTGTAACACTCAGAAAATGAGGGTTTTGTGACACTGCAAATTACGTAACACCAACCTCAGCAAGTGCAGAGCATAACTTGGGTTTCCACCCAAATTACTAAAACATGAAGATGGACTTTGTAGGGTGGATGAAATTTTATTCTGACACATTTACTAAAATATCCTCTTCAAGTGCAGCACAATGTTCCCTCCCAAATTTCAGAATATGAATACACAATCAATACAATGTACAGTATTTCTAATGCTTTTTACTAAAATCTTCTTCAAGGTTTTTGAACCTCTGCAATTGCAAATATGAAATTGGCTTTCCACCCAAATATTTGAATATGGATACACAGAATCAAGGGACATCAGTTCTATAAAGCTATTGCCCTAGGCACTTAAGTCTACATTTACAATTCGTCATGGCTACCTTTATCAGAAGAAACATGGCTAGGAGGAGCTTGAGAGGACTGAAGAAGGTTAAGGTACCTAATGGCCAATGATGCATGTAGAGCTGCACCATAAGGAAGCACATCCTCATTGACTGTGAAAAAGGGAGAGTGACCAGAAGCAAGGGGACCTTGAGACTCATTTTTCATCCCCACAAAGAAGTAATAAGCGGGTATTTTCTCCCCGTAAAAAGAGAAATCTTCAGCACCCATTAATGGCTGCATTTCTTGGAGGTTGGTACGGCCCAACATCTCAATTGCTACTCCCGAGAAGAGCTCGTGGAGGTCCTTGTTATTCACTGTTGGTGGGAAGAACGGGCGATCGCTCTCGAAGAAGTTCACTGATGCGCTGCACCTTTGCACAGCTGCTTGGCTCACTATTACCTGAAAGGAAAAATTCAGATCAAGAGACCTACTTTTATTTTTCTTCCAATTAGGGCAAGTATGGTTGAGGGTAATGAGATCATTTTCTGGTATCAAATAGTTCGGTAGGTAGGCTGAAGAGTATTAAAATGTGCCGAAGGCCATGCATCCCCAGCAGAAACCTGTAAGGAAATGGAACTATGTTGACCAGCAAGAAACCAACTGCTTAAAGATTATTTTTTCATCCTTAATTACCTTAGGGATATTTTCAGGTTTTGGGCAGGATAACTAGGCTTTGAGGGTATTGAAATCATTTCTTCCATTCGAATCCCAGAGAAGCAATGTTCCATTACAAGGTAGACAGCTAAAGGCTATGCCTCTCCAATTAAATGCGAGAACTGTTAAAGAGATCATCTTAAATTCCACTTCTGAACCAATAGTCAAATATGAGCCATCACAGGCAACAACATGATGTTCCTATTAGACAAAACCAGTTTGTAGAAGTGGATGTTTATTTAGCTATTATTTCTTACCTCTTGGATTCGCTGCTTGAGTTGATAAAAAGTATTGTTCGCAAAAGCACGGAAGGTGCCACCAATAGTGACAGAATCAGGAATAACATTAAATGCACCGCCACCTTGAAACTTTGCAACCGTTACTACCTGGAAGTGAGAAAAGGTCCTATTAATATGCAGCTTCACATGAGTTACACAGAACCATAGTTTCAATAGAACCATAGTTTCAGAGAAAAGTGGGTTAAGGAAATCGCATCAATTACATGGATAATTTATTTTCTATACAGAAGAAGCTAGCAAGGAAATGTTCATAATTAGATAGAGAATCAAGCACAGCTGATAGAATTGGTTTGTTCAACAGAAGTCATCACGATCAGATAATACCAGCAATTGGTTGTATGACTTGCAGTCAAGTGAAGGGGAGTAGTCTGAATGAGTGAGAAATCAAGCACAACTACTTGTGCTGTTTAAATGGGTGCATGGGAACTGTTCAATGGAAACAATCAGCCCTATGTTGGACTGGGTTACTGACGGTCAGCATCTCATTATGCATTTATTTGAGCTCGGACAAGTTCAGCCCTTGCAGTTTTAAAACTTCAAGACAGAGTCAACATGTCAAGCCAATTTTTTTTTTTTTTTGCCCTTTTGAATGAACATGTTAAGCCAATGGCGTCCAGTAACCTATAATTGCAATTCCTTAACACCTGAACATGCTTCTATAAGAGTTTGTAGACATGTACATTGCTGACATTGAAAGAATTTCTGGGATGTGTTGACCGCTTGTTTGGCTGCTTTACATGTTTACATCAGTTTCTATCGTGATTTCCATGACAAAGTGCTGCTTTTCCATTTAGAGGTAAAACATGTATTTTTCTGTTTTTTCCCACACAAAGTAGTGGGCTGGTCTTTCTTCCGTGCATGAGCACAAGGGTGTAAAAGGTGGCTCCCACAGAAGCCACTCATAAACAATACTAAAATCACCTAAAGAACCATCAAGACACATGTGGCCATGTTTTGCTGGGGCATCCAGTAAAGCCCAAGTCAATGTTCCTATCTAATCATCAATATAATGGGCATTACCAGCTAATTATACAATTATTGTTCCATATAAATCATATCTCATGATGTTAACTCACCTTATTGGTTCTCATATCCCTGAAAACTAACAAATGAAAATCCAGTGGCTCATAAAGACAGACAGGATGGCAACCCCCAATATTAAAGGAAGGGAAAAGTTTATATAGAGCCAAGGTTCTAAACAATCAAATTTGGGCCTGTCTCAAAAATTTCACTAGAAGAGGTTGTTTTGATGTTCAAATATGTTCAAATTGATCATCTCAACATCAAGAAGCATGGACACAAGAAAAAAATGGATTCAAGTTTTGGAAATAGTGCATTTTGTGACGCATTTTTGGACCATCAATTTTCAAGATTTTCAAGTTTTCATATATCTGTCGATCTACACTATTTTTGAAGCTTTAAACTTTATAAATAAATATAAAAACATATTTTAAGGCTATCACAAGGATTTCAAATATCAAAACCACATTTTTCGATACTATTTGAAGTTAGGCTCTAATTTGATTGTTTAGCGCTTAGGCTCTATACAAACTGCACCCCTTCAAAGAATACATTACTTTTGGCAATTAACAATTTTATGATACGATTCAATTAATATAACTTGACAGTTCAAAAGCACCCAAGTTATCCCATAATGTTAAGTAAGTTACACCAGAAAAGGGGTGGGTCCATTATTGCCTATTCTCCACAAGAATATATGGCTGTAAAGTTCAGAGCTTGCCAGAAATTTTTTTTTCTATTAAGCTTTATTTTGATTCTTTTGTTTCAAGTGCTTACTGTTTACAGGCTTGTCGAGGAAATCCAGAGTCTATCATGATAGTATACAAAATTCGATAGGAATATACCTATGATCTGTGTTTTCCTTTTCAATATTCTAGAAGCCCTAAAAGATGTCATTTCGATATTGTTCATTTACAATATAAGCAAAGTACGCTTCTCTAAAACATATGTGCATTTTCTTAAAAAATTTCACCATCTTTAGCATATAGGGGGGAGATTCTTGAAAAACATCCATGATCATCCACAGAATGGGGTTCTGTGGTCGACCCCATTTGATGATCTTCAAAGAGTTACCCAGATCATAAGGTAAAGCTCTAGGGTAAGTGTCTTAGGCTGGTCAAGAGGGGTATTGACTTCTGCAGAAGTCACCTCACCACTACTCAGTTGGCCAAAGGACTCCAAACTTAACTCCCTTTGAACATGACTCCCTTAGAAGGAGGGGCCATAGTGGTATGAAGGGATTGACTAGTAGGAGACTAGAAGCAACCACCCATGACTACTGGATAGCATCCAATACTACAATATCATGAAGTTCCTTTTGGAGAAGAACCCATTCAAGGATTGCATCATTGATTTGATAACAAGCAATGGCAAAGATTTTGAGGATGAAATGCTAACACTATGATATCTTTTTCTGTCCTTATGCCCCAAAGATTGCCTTGGGGCCCGGGCACATCTTCCATGAGATCAAACCCTCCAAAAAGGTCCAAAGGAAAACTTCTATACCACTCTAACAAAAGCACAGTTTGATATCTTCATGCTTGTCAACAGAGATAAAATGATCCATTGTCTCCTTCTAGTGCCTAATATTTTGACCTGTATTCAAGAATTGGAAGCCATAATGTTCCGAAGGTAAGAGTCTTCGGGCACAAAACCAGCCGAATATTCAGATTCCCGGTAGAGTAGGGATGTTCTGACAAGGCTGGTATGGGAATTCCTTACCTTTAATGATGTTATGGGCTCCATAAATTTTTTCCAGCAAGAAGATTCCACTGGATCATGCTTATAGAACACACTCCATTCCAGTTGAAGGATAAACACCGACCCAAGAACTCAATATTCTAATATTGCAAACTCAGGTGTCTTCACATCCCAATATTCCGATGAAACTTAGGATACCAGGTGCTGGCACACCCCTTCCATCACAACAACACTAAGTGACCCTCCTAACGACAAGCAAGCCCAGCAAGTCTCAAGAAATACCACCCTAAACCTAATGTCTTTCCAGAACTCAACAACTATTGAACTGATGCCTTTTCATTGCTATAAACCCTACCAGATCACCCAGAGCCCCTCATCCCTAAGGCCTCTCCTTCCATACCATACTTCCTTACTGACTCTTCCCTAAATGCAATCTCCCTCTAAACCAAGACAAATGCTGCTTACCTATGAGAGTGTTATACCATTAACAACATACCATACTTCCTTACTGACTCTTCCCTAAATGCAATCTCCCTCTAAACCAAGACAAATGCTGCTTACCTATGAGAGTGTTATACCATTAACAAACTTCTAATTCCTGACCCACCCACACCTCAGGCTTACAGATATCATCACTCCTAAGACGAATTTGTGTTTACCAATGTATTGAAAGGTTGGCCTGCCTCAAGGCACTGCTAAGGACCTAGGTTCCTTTGGCTAGGGTAGGGAGCAGCTAGGCAGGGGTCCCTCTAGGAGCCAGCTTACATCGCCAATCCACTGCCTGAAAATGTGCCTAACGCTATGGCCAAGGTCAGGAACCTTTAAGCCTCAGTGTTTGTTGTGGTTTTGTGAGTATGTGGGTGCATGCACGAGAGAAGCCAAGACATTAGAGTGCAATGCTCAGACATATCATTGGCCATTTGGAGGGTATCTCCTTAAGGTATTATACTCCATACTCCAAAACCTTAAAATGGAACAAATCAATGGAATTCGAGTCCAAAGATTTCATCGAACATATAACAAGGTTCATGCTGTC